GTCCAATCTCCACACTCTCCTTTCCCTCGCCAATCAATCCATCCAAGCTCTCCGCAACAATCCCAACCATGACCCTATTCATACCATCCAAGCCTGGCCCCGGCGCTGTCGCCTTCTTCATGACATGCGTCGCCTCCATATTCAAACCCCAATCGCCTTCATCTCCATTAACATTGACCGCCAATACATCCCTCGCTTTCCTACTAACTCCACAAAGTTGGTTTGCGAATTTTGCCGAAATGGGCGGAAACGCGAGTTTTTTAGGGAGTTTTTGGACGGCCTGGATTAACTCGGGTGTATTCACAATGTACATTTTGGCGCCCAGAACACGTATTGTAAGGATTGGGAGACGTGTTTTCTGGCTCAGATCAACATAGTAGTGGAATTTTCGGCGTACAAGTCCAAGGATGTGACCGATATACGGGATTCGTGTTGTGGCCATAGGAGGTTCGAGGGGATCACAGACGGAGTATAGGAAGTTCAAGAGGAGGTAGGTCAATATTCCGAGGACTGTGACGATCATGAGGGACCGAGGGAGTAAATTGTCGATGATTGACATGATGATGTGATGATGTGATAATCTATGAGCTGTTGTGAAAGCATCTGAAAGGAGTTGGATATGTAAATGTCAATGCCGGGAGCTGATTCTCCTTCTCCTCCACTGCATTCGACGAAGAAAGAAAGTGTAAGAATCTGTCATCTTATATAGATCTCATGGCATCTGCAATCCAAACTCAAAAGCTATATTGGCTCACTCTCCCAATTTCCTTTGACATATTGAATAACATATGCGGTTAAGCCAATTGAGAAATTAGGAAACGCCTAACGGGACACCTTAAACGGCAACTTCCATATGTTGCAAACCTCGTAGGACAACAACATCTATATTACCAACCGTGGCATTTCCATCACAAACAACGGGCGTTCTAACTTCAAAAAGGACTCAAACCATCCTTGGCCAGCCAAATTAATACCGCCAGCAGCCACATCTCAGCCAGCCGTCCGGGTAAAACATTCATGATTCAAATTTCCCCATACTTTTCGCACATCATCGAGCTCCACAAGGTCTCTCCCATTGATATGCCCAGTCGTGTCCAGTCCTCAACTTTCTCGTGTCTCGCAAAACTGATTGATTTCTCCAATCGTTCGAACACTATACTACTGCTCTCTCCGTGAAATTTGCTCATAAATAATAGTCTTGTCTATGCGTTGGCAATATAGAGGTTTTAAAGAAAGCAGAAAGTGGCAGAAGATGGTGCTATCTGGATGAGTGTTAAAATCTCAAAGGGGAAGGGGAAATCTGAATACTAAACATTCAATTCAACCCAGTTGGATTGTTATATTAATAAATGTCCGTACTAGTACCAGGTATTGAAGACAAAGATTTGACAGATGTGACGAGTATCACATCTTATGTTTTGAATGTTCATGACATTAATGCTCTAATAAGAGAAAATTGGAATGATGTTAAAACCCATCAATATTTGGAATGCACTAGCATGAGTATCCATCCGGCGTGTTGAGAAAAGTTTGTGAAAACACACAGAATCCTGTACTCAAACAGAGAAGCAAGACAAGGCAAAAAGAGTGGCATGGCAGTATGAAAGCTAATTCTTGACGGTATTCTTCGGAAGTTTCAGGCGGGTACCTGCCTATGCAATGAAGCCCTTCTACCACAACTTCATACATCGTCGAATTCTCCCCGGAACACGTTTTATACACGTCCTAGCGCATATAGAATAATACACGAACTACCTGACTAGCGAAACAAATTTTACTCATAGATTGACCACAAACATTATCGTATTAATACCTCTATACAGTCCAGCAACAAACTTCTAATGCGTACACATCAACCCCTCAAACCCGTGCGTCCACCTAAAACTCCCCATAATTACCACCATCAAGGCCAATCCCCCAATTACGCTCACCAATCCATATCTATACCCATGACTTCTCCTCAGCGAGCTCAACTCCACTACCCATGTACTAACCGTGGTCAAGCATCCACAAAACCCATCCTCTATTCCCTGTAAAACCTGGCATCCAACCACACCTCCTAAAGGTACATGTTGTAAATCATATGCCATACCCATCATTGCCGTCCCAAACATATTGACTGCAAATGTTCCAAGTGGAAATGAAGAGATTTTGCCATTCAAGTAAAGAGAGGCGTAGAAACGGGCTAGACAGCCTACAGGTGCGAATATGAGGGCAAAAACCGCGCGACCTCTCCATATCTCAGGCGGTGCATCGTTTCTATCGGGTGGGAAAATAGCTAGAAATATAGCACCCAGCCAACAACCCCACGCTAAGAATACCGCAAAAGGGTCTAGATACTTGCGAGACTTATGAAATGATAAACTCGGTGTATACGGTTCCAGAAATATAGCAAGATGGGCGCCGAAAAACAACGCTGCCAAACACAATGAGACAGTCGTAATGATAACAGCTAACGTCGCCATAAACGAATATCCTCCATTTCGGCTCACAGTGCTCGTTGTACTAGCCATAATTGGACTATAATCCTGAGGATGGTTCAGAGGACTCGGCAAATCATTTGAAAGCGCCAAGAACGTATCTCGAATAAACGATGAAAAGGATGTAAAACTGCCACAAAATCCCGTTGCAAGACCTATGTACAAAGGAATGGTCTTTTTCGTTGCAGCATGTGCTTTTTTGGCAGCTTGTAAATCGGGGTTTTGTTCTACAGCCAGTGAGCCTGCATTTTCTTCATCTTTAACTTTGGCTTTCCATTCCTGAATTTTGTGGTGGTAGGTAGCGGTTCCCCATTCTTCTCTAAACAACATCCTGTCTTCACCTAGAAACCCCATGAATAAACTTCCTCCAACATTTGCCCATAGCTCGCTGAAGATTATGGGAGCTCCGGGGTAGAAGGTAATGGCTTGGAGACCTAGTCTAGCCAATGTTCCAAATATTGAAAATAGAATTAGATAGGATATAGTATATAACTTTGTCGCGAATTTTGAGACCTTTGGGGGACTGGAATTTTCCTTCTCCTCTGCCGGTGGTCTTTCTCCTCTAGCAATACTATCTCGTTTACTCTGCTTTTGTCTTCTACGTTCCTGTTCGTATTTTTGCTCTTCGTCTTTGGCCTCCTCTAAAGATTTGTGTTTATATGTCGGAACTTCGTGGGGATTTTCCACTGGCGATGGTGTTGCAAGTTCATCTAGATGGGCATAATCATCTGGAATGTCGTAATCGCTATCGGTTTTAGAAGCTCGACTTGCGCGACGGCGTGCTTTTTGCTCTCTACTATTCGTATGCCCCAGAGGTTGACTTTGTCTCAATTGGTTTCCATCCGTGTTTTGTCTCGGCGCCGGCACAGTGCCTTCATCAAGTCGAGAATAACTCTTTGGTGAATCATATCCCGCATCTTGCGCCTCCCGCGCGCGTCGATCTTGCGATGGTCTGTCTATTGACTTCGAGTGGGTTGGATTGGCCTTGATGTCGCAAGACTCATTTCCAGTATCTTTGGTACCTGCATTCTCCATTGTCATTATCCAATTATATGCCAAGGCCGTGACACTTCTATTGATATCATCTAAATCCCATTATTGAAGGGAAAATTCCGACGTCACCTAGCAACATGGTGAATAGTTGCCGTCTTTTTAAAGTTAGATTGATGCGAGATCCACTCGGGGACCGCCCGTTTGCGATTCGACTGATAAGGTCCAGGTTCCACTGATAAAATGTGGGCGGTTGGGCTCGGCCTCTAGCTGCAGGTGTGAATACATAACACATAGCTTGCAAGCAGTCATCAACGTCCCCTCTTCTATAAACAAAGAAATATAAAGCTTCAATTCTATCATTGACTCTATACATTTGATCAATATCACAAAAGTACTTGCAACATCTTCACAGTTTGAACAACAATTGTGCGAAGCTTCAAAAATGAATGAATCAATCCCACCTAACGTTCACATCTCCACCCATCCGTGTCTCCAAGCCAAACTCTCACAATTACGATCCAGCGAAGCTAATACTCGCGAAACGAAAGCTCTTGTTAATGAAATCTCATTGATAATAGGATGTGAAGCTACCGCCGCTGGACTTACTGTTTCTAAAGGTCCAACTGTATGTTTATGCATTTATTCATTCCTCTTCTCCATCTTCCCTCCCCATCATTTCTCAATCCCCACCCCCACAACCAAACTAACAAACCACACCAGGCCAAAACACCCCTCGGATACACCTATACAACAACTACCATAACACCCACCTCCATTTCCCTAATCCCCATTCTCCGTTCCGGTCTTTCTATGGTCGAAGCTCTCCAAACCCTTCTCCCCTCCCCAACCCCAATCCATCATCTTGGACTCTTCCGTGAACCCACCACTCTTGAGCCCGTCGAATATTACAACAATCTTCCCTACCACGCACCCGCCGCATCATCTCCCTCCAACACCCCCAACACCTCCGCTTCTGAGCTCGCAATTCTGCTCGATCCCGTTATTGCTACAGGAGGAACTTGTGCTGCTGCCATTCGTACATTGAGGGAATGGGGTGTTAAGCGAATCATTGTATTGAGCGTGTTGGCTGCATTACCGGGCTTGCAAAATGCAGCTAGAGAGTGGCCTGAGGGAACGGAGATCTGGTGTGCGGGTGTGGATGAGGAGGTCAACGAGAAGGGCATGATCAAACCAGGTTTGGGAGATGTGGGTGATAGACTATTTTTGACCATTGGAAAGTAGGGTGCTTAAAATGGGTAATTGAGTTGCTTGCTCAAGATTTGCTGGCGTTACATAGCGATGAGAATCCCTCAGGTTGAATGAGATACCACCCGCTTCGCCTTCTACCGTCTGATACTTGTTATACGTGACTGTAATTGTGATATGTTTTGTTTTGAAGACAATTAATATTAATGGTGGATACTAATCTACCTCCACCTGGCAGGTATTAAAAAATCTATGGAAAAATTATATACAAGTAGGGTATCATATCTAACACGCTCCAAACAAATGCATTTCAAGGTATACTCAGAATTGATAGCCCGGTGCTCCAAAATCGTCATCCCAAGGTATAAGCTGAATAAGAAAGTAGGCAATATTCAAGATGGTCGGATAATACTGCAACAATATTATAAAGAGGCCCAAGTAGAGGGTAGCAGATAAAACCAGGTAAGGTGTAGGTTCGAGCAGGAAGTCTTTCCATAGATCTATTAGCCAAATTTCCATTTCCGAGGCCTCAGCTAAATGCACTGGTCTGTATACATCGCGAAGTCTTGGGCGAGAAGGATGACTGTTTTGTGGCCGTGGCTCGGTAGGAGGGAACTTCGCTGGTTGGGAATGGTATTGAGACCTTGATATCTGTGCCATTATTGCTGCCGAAGATGTCTCGGGGCTTGTAAATCGTTCTTTCTCTTGGGATGATTTTGCATGACTCGAAACTGTGACTTTCTGCCGCATACGCACATAACTCCGTAGCCCCTTTTCCATAATCTGTGCTCCGCGTTGTCTTATCCTAATGCATTTAGTCGTATCGTCGTGTTCTCTCTTCTCAATGTCCCGGTGCCAAAAGACCCCTGACTCTTTCAATCCTTTGAACTGCGCCTTCAAGCCTTTCCAGTCGTTTTCTCTTTTCTCCATCCCTTCGCTCCAAAATTTTAACTCGCTCTTCGAGTTTCGCCCTTGCTTTTCGTTCCGTAGCAACCATTTCATTGGCTTGTGTAAATAGCTGTGCCGTCAGTTCTTCCAGTTCGACACTGGATTCATTTAATTTGCCCTCCGCAGCCTGTCTTAACCCTTGCTCCCTTGTCAAGGCAGCTACTAACTCTGTTGTAGAAGGGGTTGGCGGTGTTGGCGGTTGCTGAGCTTGCAGATTCGGCGTGGACTTGCGAGATAGCAGAGAAGAAAGTCGATTCTGGACAGGCAGATATGAGAAACGACTCGGGCTTCCAAGTCGGTCTTCAGTGTGCCCTTGTGTTGGTGTTGTTGCGCGCTGAGGTTCTGTAGTTTGCTGGTAGTTCGCCCTTTTAAGTGATTGGATTTCGTCTTCGTAGTCTGCCCATTTATCCACTGGCAATATCGTTAGCACTAGAAGATCAAAGGTTTATAAAGAGAAGCCTACCAGCGGCGGTCGCTTTTTCCGTCAGTAACTTTACTTGAGCTTGCAATTCCTCAATCTCTTTCTGCGCATCAGCTGCAATCTGCGAACTGCTGTGCGGTAAAGCCATTCCACAATTAGGACATGCAGATTCAGTTCCCGACGTCTGCGCCATCGTTAAAGTTATAGTTGCCGACATGAGCTCGTCGTGTGTTGTACTATGATCATAAGACAATGTATTGGTGAGGTAGCTGTGTGACTTCGCGATTTGGCGTGATGAGTATCAGGTGTTGTTGGGTACAACTCTAAACTGGTGAATATAAACTCTGTTTTTCGACTGCAACTGTGCGACCATGCGACGGAAGTATTCGACTTTGTATTTAATTGAAGAGGGGTCAATATTTATCGGACAGGCCTTGCATAATGAAATTTATATCCAGCATTACAGGAGATTAATTTCAGCAAGGCGCAGGCTGTGCCAGTAAAGTAATACATGCTGTAGGCGCGATGGAGATCCTCATGGTAACCATGTTAACGGCATTCTTCATCCCTGTTGATGCCGGCAAACCCCTAATAATAGGTACATCTTCATGCTTCAGCCATGCCATTGTTGATGGTTATAATGCTGACAATCTAGGATGGATGGCATCCGCAATTATCGTTCTCAGTAAGGGATGAGGACTGAAATGTTCCAAATATCTGGTAAAATCGAAACCCTCGTAAGAAAAATCGACGCGGGAAGCTTACGCAAGTATCTTCCGCTCAATCTGAGCACCAAACATCAATGCCACATTCTTGTTGGTTGAATGGATTCTTTTGTGGGTACGACTATAACTTTGACGTCGGAAGTTTATTGAGATGTTCTGGATTGAGTGGACGTTTCGGAATGATTGTATTTCATCATGAATCCTGTTCCTTCAAATATTGTGGTGTTTCGGCGCAGTTTGTAAAGTTCATCTGAAGATTCCATTCCGTCTGATGTCTGTTTGAGAATGAAGCTCATTCTTGGATTCAAGATGAGACTTGGCTGCTAACAATCAGGGGCGCCTGGAAGCTTTCTGATTGTTCATCTAAAGTTCGATGATTAGGTGGATTCGTGGTCGTGTATTAGTTGCGAGAGATGAAATTGTTGTTTTCAAATTGATTTCCACTAGGCATATCTGCGAGCGCAGCTGTAATATGCAATAAAATGATTCTATGCCCAGTTCAGTTGGCATAAAGAAAAGGAGATCTTTGCTTCCACGAGACCCCCAAACTACTTTGAATATCAACTCCCAATATACACCTTTCAAATCAATTTGCAAAAGGTGTAGTAAAAGAAATAGTACTTTGCAGATATCTCTGGATCTTCAAATAAGGTTGATCCCCCATCTCACACCAAGCGTCATGTCTCTTCTCCACCATGTCCTGTCGTGCCTTTGCCGCCTCTTCATCTTCCATCTTTCTGAGGGCGCCATTAAGGTAGTTGCGGCACCAGAGATCTTCATTGATACCCTTATGATTTTTAGGCGCCTTGGGTCTTAAGGATGGCACTCCACTTTTTCCCATCTTTTCAATTACAACGACAACATAGATGGCGGGGTTGTCGAGGCGAAAGAAGTGGACCGCTTGTCCGTCGCATTCGACGGGTTGAATATATCGCTTTTCTAGGTCGTCCTTAAACATCCAACGGTTCAAAATCTCACTGTATTGTACCTCAAGTTGATCGCGAAGGTAGCTGTAGCCTGCAGCGACTTGTTCGGCGAGGAGGCTTTCGCTAGCCTCACTATTTGTAGAAGCGGGTTGATCAGAGGAAACATTGGGAGAAGTACTAGTAGGAGCGACTTGAAATATACCTTCACTATCTCTTCGGTCTCTCATTGGTTGGATGGCAACGAGAAACTTTCGTCCAGTTTTGTCGGTTTTGTATATGCCATGTACGGGGGTCGTTTCGAAATTTATCGTTTCTAAAGGCTTTTTTCCTCCGGGGGACTTCTCCTTTGCTTTGAAGATGTTCCACATACTGGAGAATTTATAGCTGGTAAAGAGTTTCTTCATGTTGAAGAGTAACAAAGTTTGTTGGTTCGGAGCTTTAGTCGGATGGTAACAGTGCTATTGAAAAAGCTCATGAGAACCAACTTTTACAATCTCACAATGCACAGGGCTTGCACCGTCTACATATGATTTAGCTAGGCTGTTTGTTCGTGCTAAAAATCTACACATGTGTGTATGTTCGATATGGCTTCAGGTATAGGTATATATGGCAAGAAACGTATTGATATATGGTCGAGACATCAAAGGCAAGCATTGTCTTAATCATATATCTGTCGGTGCAAATTAGAGAAGAATGAAAGGAGAAACGAGGGAGATTTATCAAGTACAGATGACAGTTTACATTTTATCTAGTGCATTATACCAAAGCTATCATTCAATGTACTAGAGTTGAGAGGTAGCAAGTTTTTAATAAGCTAGCGAGCAGCCAGGCTATACTTTATTTCGTAGCGTTGAGATCTTCAACAATGATTCAGGATATCTTATCATTTGTATTGCTTGGAAATCTTGATATTTTGATGATTGAAGGAACGTATGCAATTGTGAGATCTTCCTTTTAAAGATCTAAAACATCAACGAAAGAATACGATTCATACATTTACTCAGCATTTCTTGAGGCACAAAATGTAATTGACCAACTCAATCTTCCGGCCCCGCTTCTTCTTTCAAGCTCACTGTGGGGTTAGTATACACATCTCTAGGGTTTCCACAAATATTTTAACATTCCTGGTTAGTATACATTAACTTTTTTCATCTGAAATGTTAGTCTCGGGTGGTTTTGAATGCTTGGGGGATTGCACTATTGCAGGAGGTTGTTCCTCTGAGAAAAGTGCGGTATAGCTTTTGATCCTCATATCCATTAAATTAAAATACAAAGTCTCCCTCTTTATTTGACAGGAAGAAGGTACCTACCAAAGCTCAGGCTGTATTGATAGCACAGATAGTAGACCGCATGCTCATTCCTATCAAGAACTTCAATTCCAATAGTATTGGATAGACATGAAGTATCTGTCATCAAGGGCACACAATCTGCCTAGTATTAAACCTGGTGAAATCAAGTGTGCCTACGATTGTCTACTTTACACGCTTGTCAGGGTGGGCCTTGTAAATGAGAGATGCAGATGTGCAACAAAAATCTTCATGAGAAGATATCTCGACGTCATTGTTCAATCCTACCCCCCTTCCTTTTAGAGCACCATTTCATTTGTTTGGTTAGTAAGCATTTCTAAGAGCATCCATAGAACTAACTCTTTCTGCACATTTCAATTCTAAAGCAAGCCATGGTGACGTCAATTTTGAACGATCATGTTTTCAGCATCATTTCTGTAGTACACAAGATATTATATACATCTTAAGTAGCGATGGAAGTAAGTACGAATTGAGGCATTCTTTAGTGGACTAGAATGGAAGTTCGATCATATCCAAGATGAATGCTATAAAAACCATATCTGTAACAAAATACCTCAATTTGATCTGCCATTGAAATAGAATGAAGATACAAATTTTTCAACTGGCCTCATTTTGCCGCGTCTCATAGATAAGCGAATACTCTACTTCGTCCCCTGAATCTTCCCCCACTGCTCACAGTAAATCGAGGGAGTTGGCCGGAAAAGTCTCAACACCCCATGCATTTGTCTGTCTGCTCGGTACGGATGTTCTTCTCACCGATGAAAATCAATGAGACGGCAAAAACCACAACTTTCATTCTCCGTATTTGTCTAGCTTGCGAAGATAATCACTGCAGTCTAAAAACTTTTCATAGAATTATGGCTTCGAAGGAATTTCTTGCGAAGTTGAAGTTCTTCTCGGAATTGGGCATACATTTCGTTACACCTCGGTTGTTACCTTACCTGTCTGTTCGCTTCGTGATAAGTTGAAGACTTCAAAAGCTTAAATGGCAGCAGAAAAGAGTTCAAATGACCCAAGGCACCAGTTTAAAAGATGGAGGAAAGGTATGTTCTAACAATACCTTTATGATATATAATTGTCTAAAGTCTAAAGCGCGTCAATCAAGACTGCCGTTGGTAGCTAATGAAGATGAAATCCTCCGAGCTTATGACTTTGATGCGCCATCTATACATACTATATACTGCAGAAAATAATCAAGATCCTAGTACCACAGAGCCTTATTCCAAAATCTAGATTTGGCGTTGGCTAAAGAATCCGCTTGCAAGTACATACTTGCATTGAAAACAATTTCTACACCATTGGTACTGGTGTTATACAAAGGCCATTCCATTTTGTCATTTGGCCAAAGGGTATTAGGATTGCCAGTCAATGCGAAAACAAAAGATACTTTTGCACAATCCGCGCTGTGATGGCATTGACTGTCTTCGTTTGAATATCCCCAGAGAGAGCGTACGTGCCATACCAGTAATAATCCTGATCAGTACCATGAGTAGCTTCACCTAATGTAACCGTTGCATTCCAAGTCTGGTTGTGAAGACCGTTGGTCAATGCCAAATTGTGTGAGGTCAATTCGAAGCTTTGCTCAATGTCTGAGAAGCGAAGTCCGGGAGAGGCGTAATCATTTTCGGGATAGAGAGCAAGGATTTCGCTGATGACAGTGTCAGTAATCCCAGGGGAGTACATGCGTATTTTATCGGCAACATCAGCGGTGCTATTAATACCGCTTATAACGTCGCTATTCTTCTCGTGAAGCTCGTGTGTGTGATGACTCATGGTCCGGTCCAATTGTAGTGACCAGCGTAGAATTCTGCTTCGTCTGTTTTTAGAATGCAACATCGGTTAGCAATTTGTCAATTTTAAATCAAGAAGCGAAAAGAAAGAAGTTTCGATGGAAAAACCTACATGTAGGCTTGTTCTGTATCATGAACGGCAACATTGGTGGCGCCTCCTCCGTGAGTGAAGGTTGGTCCGTTAGCAACACCGGCAATGCTATTTCGGTAATTGTAGGTGACAAAGATGAATTATTGCTGAGATCATAGATCCCTTCGGGCGTAGTATGGGATTTGTTTGCTCTAGCTCTGAATACATCCTTCGTTAGTATGTGTCGATGCATGAGAGCAACAACAGAATATTACTTACCCATAAGTCCATTGCAAAACAGGAAGCTTCTTTACCGTAGTATTAGCTGGCACATAAATATCCATGAACAAGCAATCCTCAGCGGTTGTGCATGCAACATCTGATGCGGCAAGGGTACCATCGTTAACTTCGGTTTCAACCGGTGGCTATTGAGGAGCAGCAAAATCGAAGATCACCCAATGGAGCAGCAGCAAATCGAACGTTTTGGTATTTATAGATACCAGCTGAGAGATTTGCAGCAGCATCTTGAACGATACAATAGTCTAAAGTGACTTGTGGCATTAAGGAAGAGACAGTAGCATTTTGTGCTGCAACGACTGTCGCTCTCAGTGCGGACTAAAGTCTACCGAACAATCAAAGGTTTTGGGAAATTCCAAATAATTTAAACGTTGAAATAGTTTCGATTATCAAGTGAATTTAAGGCCAAAACTTTGGAGATTTTGAGATCATTGAGGTTACTTGAAAGCTGGTGTAAATGGTAAGGAGAATATTGTGACTCAAGAAGAAGTTGACCGTGAAAAGAAAATCTTCCACTACCAAATTAGATTTTTTGGAAGTCATCTAGAGGTTTTTAAAATAACATGAAAGTTGCCTTTGGAAGTGCTCCATTGGAGATTGGCTTAGCAGATCACATATTGACGTACTGATCACAATGAGCACATTCAAAAATGGCAGGATTATGGAAGAGCGCCCACAGAATTTTCACATCTAGAGACATGACATCATCCGTTGAAGGAATAAAACATTAATAAGAATCGTTGTTGAAATACTACGCGTACAAAATTGTACTAAGAAGTCTAGAAGTGATAAAATGATTGAATATGGGAGGAAGTTTTGGTAACGACAGAGACTGGCCAGAAAAACAATTTCTTGAGATCCCTGCTAGGCGAGATAACCTCAAAGATGCTCAGATCAGCTCGTGCCTTTTATAATATCCGCAGCTCTTTCAGCAACAGCATAAACAACAGTTTGGGTGTTACTTCTAGGTACAACGGGCATGATGCTTGCGTCTACTACACGCAAATTACTAGTGCCATACACGATAAGATTATTGTCAACTACGCCCCCTTTGTTCTCAGGCAGCATGGAGCAGGTTCCAACAGGATGCCAATTTGACATACCCGTTTTCTTGACGTATTTCTTAACCTCGTCCAAGTCATTCCAGGGAGTGTATAACCTGTTGCGTTTTCCGTTGGGCTTGAGCAATAAAGCAAGTGGTTCGGTTGTTGCAAGCTTATCAACGAAACGAAGATGACGAGCCAGCACTTCAAGATCGAGAGGGTTACTGAGATATTTGAAGTCTATTTCAGGAGCGTCAACATGACTTCCAGACGAAATATGCACGTATCCAGTGCTGAGTGGATTCAATAGCAAAGCGCTTATCGTGACGAAATTCTCTGGCATATCAGCCACAACTAGCTCTTTTGGAAAATTAGCCCCAAAGTTTCCTTGAGCAGCATACATAAATATCATGCCATTGCCTTGCTCTCGGCTTCTAAGAAGGGAGCGGACGAATTCGTGGTGAGGACGATCACTCGCAGATGATGGGTATGCTTTCAGCAAATTTTCTAACTCATCTCGACCCTCCTTGGTTTGGAAGTCATTAACAGGTACGAATGAGGTAGACATGACAGCAGCACGACCGAATGGCCCAGACTGTGAGGTCATATATTCAGTCATCGCTTTGCCCAAAGCTTCTGGGTTTCCTCGGGCAAGATCATCAATAGTTTCAACCCCGTCATTGACTTCGAAGCTGATGCCGCTTATGATGTGATCCTGAAGATTCTCTCCCACGTTGGGGTTCTCAATACGCACAGTTATCCCATGCTTACGGAGAATTTCAGGAGATCCGACACCAGAAAGTTCCAGAAGCTTAGGAGATTAGAGCGTACCAGCCGCGAGAATGACCTCTCTTGAAGCTATTAGACTTTCAATGCTCCCCTCATGAGAGAACTCAACCCCCATTGCTATCAATGGTAGTGATTCTCCTTCTAGAATGATTCTGGTGACGGTGGCTTCAGTAAGAACGACCAAATTGGTTCGGTGAACGACAGGCTCATAGTAAGCACGCGCTGCATAGCTTCGTTGTCCAGAGTTTGGATCAACGGAAGCAGGATTTGAGTATGGTCCAAATGCAGTACCGTCAGAGACATCACCGCTAAAGCCATAGCCAAGGTTCTTGAAAGTTTCGTTCCATACTTTTGGAAACTGATTCTCAGGAGCAGGTGGGAATGAGGCTTGAATGGGACCAGAAGACGGTATATTTGCAGAATAATTGTTTTGAAGTCCAAGGCATTCCACATCAGCCTCCGATGGTGTGGTCAAAGTATGAAATTTGCGAAAGTATGGCGCCAAAGTTTTCCAGTCCCAGCCAGAATTGCCCAAGGACGCCCATGCGTCTATACCCACTTGAGATGGCATCATAAAAACAGACGAATTGATTGCACTGGACCCGCCCAGCGCTCGTCCTTGGGGAATTCCCATAATCCTGCCATCAAGTGATTCCTAAATTCAGGATTCATCAGAACGGTATCTATTAGAATAGGAAACAACTCACCTGTGGTGTAGTTACAAAATTCCAATCTGCCTCTGTTCCCAAAAGTGCGGGCCAACCAGCGGGCATGTTAACTCTAGGATCTCCGAGGTAGTTTTTACCAGACTCAAGAACCAACACATTTACTGTTGGATCCTCTGACAAACGGTTGGCAACAACAAGCCCGGAAGTTCCACCTCCGATGATGATGAAGTCAAAGGCGATTGCGTTTTCAGCCATATCGAATTGTAAAAAAAATCCTTTTCGAAAGGTCCGTGAAAGTGATGGGCGATAGAAGCAAGATTTGCAATAGTCTCGGAATCAGCGTGTTGAAGGCTTTTATAAATGCGATTGAAAGAAGAGTTCATTAAACGAGACCAAAAGAGTACCCTGGAAACTTGAACCATGTGTTTAGTGAATCGAGAGAGGCACAGTCCACGGGTACGTTAAGAATGGCACAGCAAGGTTGGACAGCCACATATTATAGGTCGGTGAATTGCATATAAACGGAAGATAGGTATCCAATATGTGCAAAGTATCAGTGGCTACCTAACCTTCAATAAGGAATTCAATACATGCTGGCGCAGTAATTAGTGTGATTGGCCTAGTTTTGAAGCCAACGAGTGCATCCAGCTTATGAGATATCACGAATGATCTTAGCCAGAACTCTCGCGTAACGCTCACCAGACACCGGGGAAAACTCTCTGTTGCAAGAACAACCGGGATGATCCAACAACAACACACTTTCGACTTTATTCCAACCACGCAAATACTGCCTGGTCCCCTATGAGGATTGTTGTAAGCGCTTTTGACTGACTTGAAGCAACAGGGGTCTTGCAAAACCATCTTGACGGCTATCGATTGCCAAAGATATCCTATTTTGATCGACTGCTAGGTGATAGAACAAGAGCATTTCAAAGAATTTGGCGCAAACATTTACGGTATGGCCAAGATCGATACTTTAAAAGTTGGATTTGACCAAGCAATACATCAACCTTACATCGGCTATATGTCCCAGTTACGGGAAACGTGTATATCATGATTCATAGTCAGAGTAAACTTCAAATCTGATACTTCATTTATCCAGTCAAATCGTACTTGAGATTTGAGGTCTGATCGGTTCCAGCATCACAAAGCGTCGTCCTTGACTAGATTTCCCTCATCAATCGCTTCCTGTGGGAAACTGGAATACTGCAATAATGACTATTCGCCCAAGAAATATCCATGCCTGCATTGAGAACACTTGTTTTCTTTCGCAGAATGAAAAGTAGAAGCGGGGTACAGCGGTGTAAGACGACAAGAGCGATCTAAACGAGCAAAAGTGTGGCGTCATTAAGTCCATCTGAAAAGACTGAACACGGCTTTTTTGAGCGATGTTTTCGTAATTGGGGGCTAGTAAGTGAGTTTGTATCTTAACCTAGGTACCTACTGACCCTGAGTTGTCAAACCGATGGGCAGGAGCCAAATGGGAAACCTACATTAGGAATCTTCAGTGGTGTTCATGAGTGGGAAAGTAAGTAAGATAAGAGTAAGAATAGTAGGAGGGAGCTGTAAAGATTTGCTGGATGGTTGTCCTAACAAAGTAGTCATATAGTTCTGGATTTTTCAAAAAGCCTACTTGGCATACGAGGAAGGAAGCCTCTAGCATTTTCCCAAAATTAGTTGTATTCATGACTATCGGGAGATAGACCCAATGTCCTATTCGGGGTTGATGATAAATCACGGACAATTCACATGAGTAGGCAAATTATAAATGTGGAAGAATGGAAGATTTTGTATGTATAGGTGCGAATTCACCGGGATTCATGCTTAAGTTGGTATGCTTTTGGGAACATAAGATGATGACTGAGACTGAATGACAGATAGGAAATGAGAAAATGGCATGGAGCACAACAGGGTTTTCAGACTGCCTGGAGGTGTAGGGTTTTGAACGTGAAGGGAGAGGCCCCATTTGAATTCGTGTCTATAATGTTTCCAAAAGCGTTGTGAACTGGTTTGGCCCTAAAATTCCTTGAACAATTCGGAGTGGCCACTCCCCAATGCAACTTTTGGTAAACAGACCGCCCGCGAACGCCATGAAAATCTTTTCCGAACCTTCACATATTCGGATTATTGGAGAGCGAGATCGGAACATCGTGGAGATCATAGGTAGCGGATAGGATGTCCGATGGGAGAATAATCATCACATGTAGCGCTTCGTGTGATGGTCAGAGATTTGCTTAAGGATCTTCATTTTTTAAAGAGCTTTTGCTATAATTCTGCAAAGCCCTTTGCTTGTGCTAACAAGCATTCCCATCCCAATGCAAAATGCCCAAACAAAACCATCCGCTTAAACCTCAGTAGTAACTCTGGCCTTGGCGTTGGTAACCTTAACACCAAGTGCCTTAGCGCGTGCAACAATCTCAACTCTCTTTCTCGATGAAACGGCGTGGGAGATCCTAATAATTGTTAGTGCCAGTTTTGATTTCGTCCTGGAATCGTTTGAACCTACTCTGCGGCGAAGGTCTTGTTGTGCATAAGGAGAAGCTCGACGTCGGATGTGTTGTTGACGAGGAAAGCCTTGTGGCCGGATGGCATCATGTGGCGGGTCTTCTTGTTGGAACCGAAACCAATCTATATCCTCATCAGCCCTGCTCAATTGAAACCCCTGCTGTGCATTGAATGCTCTCGAGTCCCAAGCCATATTGTTCGCGAGTATCATTTCAACCACAGCCAATTTCAGTTCCCACGTACCGATGGCATAACCATTTGTCCCTTGAAACGTCTTCGGACACGGTTATCAATACCCTTAGGCTTTCTCCAGCTTGCGTCGACACATTTGTAGGTATCGCTCTGATGTCTGTGGAAACGCTTGGTGCCTGTAACAAAAATGTCAATCAACCATTATTCGAAATCTTGTCCAGCCCTTGTCATTCGCAAAACTCAGTGCCGGCCATAACTCTTCATCGTTTCCAGGCTATGCAAGTCGAATGTCGAGGATCGATGAGGGGATTAAACGTACGCTTCTTGACGATAGGAACGTGCTTCTTAGCGGAAACCATCTAGAGAATCGTCAGCATAACGGATTTGAGGTAATTGCATCTCGCCAGGAGACATGGTAATAACAATACACACCTTGTCGTCGGGTTGTCGATTGTTTGTCGTTGGTTGATACAATCTCCAGCGAAATCTTTTTTGGTAGTCTCATAGTTTAAAGCCCACAGAAACTTAAGCGAATCTGCTTACCTGAGGCATTAAAGTTTTAGGGCTTCCATGCTGATCACGTGTTTATGACAACAATTTACGCATAGAGCTCCTAACGATGTAAATTGTATTTATTAATTGTAGTTTAGGATGTGGTCATTCAAAATCTAGATTATTCGAAATTTGGCATGTATAAAAACCCAAGATGGGATACTCAATCGGATCTAGTTATCAACAATCCTGCATTACATCGATAAATAACGGAATGGATGCATGCTGCAAAATGGAAACAGATCGCAGTTCTTCGAAGCAGTAAACCATTTCGATTCTAGAAAATGCAACATCTAAGTAATAATGCGGAAATATGGCACTTCATTATTGGGAATTCATTACAATGTTTGCTGGAACAAATCCTGGGACGCCATACCTTCCACGACTTCTTCTATCGCAGTCCCATTTACCGCTCTATTTCCCAAGTGGTCCACCCCAGAATGTGCTACCAGTCGGTAACTCGAATTTCATGACGCGCATAATACTAGTCTATGTCCAAAGGTTTACTGGGTAGCACATTGAGCACCTCCTTCATCATCTTCATCATCATCTTCCCACTCGCCACCAGCACGAGGGTCTCCAGAATTTGCACCGAACTAGTTTGCAAATTAGCATGTAAAGGAAATGAGAGTAAATCAATGATACTTACATCTTCAATGTCGGCATCTGAATCGTATTCCACCTCATCAATCTCCTCAGCCGTGATTGGCGGCTCAGGTTTAGGCAAGACTGATTGCAGAGTGGAGAATGTGGCAGCATCCTCTGTCCAACCATTCTGAGGAAATTCGATTTTTACAATCAGGTACAAATCACCCTTGGAGTCGCTTCTCTTCAAAGGCATACCTTCGCCCTCTATCTTCAAGATTTGCCCGGGCTCCAATACCTTTCCTTGAGGATGGTTTATCGAGATACCACGTCCGTCTAAATGTTTCAAGACCACTCTTGAAAATCCTGTGAGAGCTTCAGCTAAAGTGATGTTGAGCTCCGCAGAAAGATCATCGCCAGCTCGCTGGAAGATTTCGTGATCTTCTTCATCAAGAATGAAGACGATGTCACCAGGCGTTTGATCAGGTACCTGATCAGCCTCACCCTCCAAAACAATTCGCTCTCCGTCTCTAGCACCTCTGGGTATATATAATTCCAATGACTTTTGTTCCTTGGTGGTACGCTTTCCTTTGCACTTCTTACACTTGTCCTTCTCCCTATAGTTTGTACCAGCTCCTGAGCAAGTGTCGCACGTAACTCTTTCTTGGGTAACAAGTCCTGGTCCAACGCTTCTGAGGCCAAGTGTGACACCACTACCCTTACACCTGCCACAGGTTTCTGGCTTGGCCTTCTCCTTTCCTCCACTACCTTTGCAATGGCTGCAAATTACGTTTTTCTTGCTCGTAAACTTCACTGTCTTGCCCTTGTACAGGTCTTCGAGGGTGATTTTGTATGGCTGCTCTTCGTCCGCTCCCCTTCGTGGTTTTCGTGGGCCTCCAGGTCCCCCAAATCCAGGCGGCATACCTCCCATGCCACCCATACCTCCACCAAACATTTGCGCCAAAATATCATCCAAATCAACTCCGCCTGCTCCCATACCAGGTCGACTTCCATCAAATGCAGCCATGCCGTGAACGTCGTACATTTCCCTCTTCTCCTCATCAAAGAGAATTTCGTAGGCCTGGCTCACTGTCTTGAACTTCTCATCCGCTTCCTCTCTTTGGTCCTCCGCTACCTTGTCGGGATGATGCTGTAGCGCTGCCTATAAAAGTCAATGGGAGATCTCAATAAACTAAGTGCGGGGAATAACATACTTTGTGGTATGCTTTCTTAATCTCGGACTTTGTAGCATCTTTGCTTATACCTAGGATGGCTGTATTATGGATATTAGTATTTTGAGGTCAATGGCGTCATTTGATCAACTCGCCATAGAGATCCGTCTCCCCTGATGCGCCGTTGGTGGCCATATTGAAATTTCTCAAGAATTGATGGCGGGGAACTTTGATTGTTCAGCGAATCGTAGGATTTTGTGATTTCAAAATTGGCTGTCTTTCTATGCTTTTGAACAAACGAGAAAAACAAACCCTTAAGTAGATACAAATGTTATGTGCAAAACGACAAATAAGATTTGTACGAAAATGAAAGTGGTAAGGCTGAAGAGATAATGATGAAGACGGCTTTTCTATTATTTTTATCTTAGCGCCTTTCCAACTGGAAGAAGCTCGAGCCACCGAGGCCTCGGCGTATGTGGCTGAGAGAGAGTTTGTGGCTGTTGGTATTTTCCTGTCCTCCAATCAATCACAAAATCTTTTTGGTGTGCCGTCAAATATTGAACTGAATTCTTCAAGATTTATTACTTTTCATTTGTAGGATCACGATTTTCACAGTGAAATAAATTTGGAGATGAGGTTTCTTTCTGTGCCAGTGACAAGAAATACTGGCCAGAGATTATGGAAGAACAATGTTTGTTCCATATGTAAGAGATATGCCTCCACCCAAACAAATCAGTTTCCTCTGTCGGTAGCCTCGACCAAACTTCGTGCTGGCGGCCCTGTCAGAACTCGGTTTGCCCCATCCCCTACTGGGAATCTGCATTTGGGTTCTATGAGAACAGCACTCTTTAATTTTCTGCTTGCAAAGGCTACTGGTGGCCAATTTCTTTTGCGGATTGAAGACACGGATACGGTAAGTCAATTATAGAAAGCCTTTGCCAATAGGATCACACTAAATTAAGAAGGATAGAACCGTCCCTGGAGCCGAAGAGCGTCTATACAGAGATTTAGAATGGGCTGGTATCCAATGGGATGAAGGTATCATAGCTCGATATTGAATTCTTAGAATGAGTTAACTAAGAATTTTCAGGGCCAAAAGTTGGTGGACCATTTGCCCCATACAGGCAGGTACGTTGATGTCTTGTAGTTTCATGATATCAGAATGTAATACTGATATCAACAGTCAGAACGAAAAGCAATGTATTGGGAACACGCTCAAACACTGGTCGAGGCAGACTTAGGCTACAGATGTTTCTGCTCATCCAAAAGACTCCACGAACTACGGGTTTATCAGAGTAGCAAGGGCCTCCCACAGGCTTATGATGGAACTTGCAGACACATTCCAAAGGATCAATCTGATGAGAAGGCGTCGAGGGGAGAGTCTCACGTGATTAGAATGAAAGTTCCAGAACAATGGCCAGGCTTCCAGGATGAAGTTTATGGTAAAATCAGACCAACGTTGACTCGTAGTCCCCAATCGGAATTTAAGGAATTCCAAGATCCAATTATGGTAAAATCAGATGGATTTCCAACCTATCATTTGGCAAACGTTGTGGACGATCATTTCATGAAGATCACACATGTTGTTCGAGGATCGGTACGTAACTTCCATTCTCGTGACGAATTGGAGCTAATCATAGCTTCAAGGAATGGATTCCATCAACCCATATGCATGTTGCTATGTATAAGGCGTTTGGGTGGGAGCCACCCACCTTTGCACATGTTGGCCTCCTTTTGAATAAAGAGCGAAAGAAGCTTAGCAAACGAGATGGTGCTATTGATATCAAAACCTATCGAGATGCAGGGTATTTTCCAGAAACTATAACTAACTTTGTCGCTCTTCTTGGGTGGTCACACGATCGATCCTACGATGTAATGGGTATGCAAGAACTTATAGACAACGTATACATTTCTCCTTTCCAATACATAATGACAATCCACTAATTTAATATAGGCAAGCATGAAATATACCAGAGGTGACTCTGTGGTAACATTTGAAAAGCTTAACTTCATACAAAGAAAACACGCCGCAAGATATAAGGAATTACGACGATCAGATGAACCTATCCTGCCTTCTCAAGATCTCCTAGAACTAGCTGCAAAGCCAATCCTCAATCGTATGAAAACTCTTCCAGAATTTGAAGACTTGATCTTCTACAACTGTGAGAACAACGATGCCGCAAAGGAAAACTACATCCTCTCTATAATTAGCGCTGGAATCCAAAACTACACACTCCCCGAGACCTTTTACTCCAACCATAAATACTTTTTCGCAGCCCCCACAACTCTCGAACTTGAATCTAGAACCCCGCCCCACAAGCTCCACTCCGCTCCCGAGGGAGTAATTTACTCTGTCCCCTCCGACTTCACCAATTCCTTCGACGCTTTATCCTCCATTTCCCTTGAAAATTGGAACGCCCCTGAATTAAAAGGTTTTACGAACCTTGTCGTCGACCAAGGAGCCATGATGAGCACTGCTGAATTTACTGCTAGCGGAAAACCATACACCGAAGATGCTCAAAAAGTTATCAAGAAGAGTTGGATGAAACTCGTGCATGCGTATCTCAGGTGGGCAATTGCAGGAGGTCAGAGTGGACCGGATACGGCGGATATTATGGCGATCTTGGGAAGGGAGGAGTCCCTTAGACGGTTGGGCGTTGCGAAGGAGATTATGGAGGATCGTCTGGAGACACTTGAGAAAGCTGAAAGGGGCTCCGTTGCAGAAAATTAAAATGGTAGGTTGTTACATAGATAGTATGGCAAGGGCCTCAATTGTTTGGTTAAAGGTATAAAAAGTTTGAGGATGACTAGTCACGAGTGTTGTGGCCAAAAAAAATCGTGGTGAGAAATGTAGAATAGATCATATTGATGCCGTGTATCATAACTTCATACCTCCCCATTCTAAATTACTGTATCCGGTGTAGTTTTTAGACTTTAAAACGCCATCATAAACCCATGCGCCAAAGCAATGCTCACAAGAGCTTACGAAATGTCAGGTGTCCCCTAAATCCATTATTCCGCCGCTGGAACAGCTGGAACAATTTGAGCAGCAGGATCAGCTGCAGTCTTTGGCGCCGCGCCTAGCCCATTGAACAACTGCGCTTTGACCTCCCCAGCCTTCAGCCCTGTCATCTCTTCCCCAGCAATTTTGCTACTATCCTTAACAACCTTCACTAATTGTTGATCCATTCCCCTACTCAACGATGATCCGGCAGTTGTTCTTCCATTGCGACTAATACCGGAACTTGCTTGTCGGATCTTGGAGCTCAAATCAAGCATCTGCTTGCTGCTGTATTCGCGGTTGGTGAACAAAGGACTCTGACTCAATGTTTGAACCCAATATTTGTTCCACAATAATTCCAAAAGATGTGAATCTAACGAACTTTTGAAATGTGAGACTTCTAGAGAGTAGTATCTGCTGCTATGTGCGCCAAAATCTTCAATCTTCGCAAGGGGGATGGTTTGATATCCATCGCCGGATCCTGCATCCGTGGGCTTGTAATTATCGGGATAGGTTCTGAATGCACCGATTTCGACTTTTCCGGCAGAGATGGTGCGATCGGGATCAATAACTACAGCCAGGAAGGGGTCTGAGAACATTTGTTGCGTGGCTTGCGTTCCAACATCGATACCACTCAACCAACATCCATAGCCTGGATGACTGTGATACCATCCCACCGCATTCTCCAATTTGCCCTGGTCTCTACAGTGTTGTAGATACTCGACCATATATTCGTTTGCCTCATCCTGGGCATTGACTCGAGTCTCTGTTCCCTCGACGGGTAGACGGAATGCATCTGTGACAATGATAGTGTCGCCTGCGATTTTTCCTTGCATCAAACCCATGACTTCGATAGAACCACCTGACCGGGCGTGCATAACCATTTTCAAGAGGGCAACAGCGGAGATCCGGACGTTTTTGAAGTGGTGAGGATCGGTTTTCCAGGGCTTGGCATTTTGAATAGCTTTTTGTTCCTCGGGGTCGTAGGTGTAGAGCGCGTCGCGGTTGGGGTCCACGAGTTGGACATTGTTGTCAAGCTCTATAATTGATAAGGTCAGTTTCAGGAATGAGGTAGCGTGATAGGAGCATAGTGGGGGAGGAGGGGGGCAGGTGCAGTGGCAATGGCAATGGCAATTGCATAGATGAAGAGAGCTTCAAGGCTAGACAGTTACTTACCCCAGGTCTTGAAAGCAGTATCCATGATTGATGGATAAGTTTCAGTTGGGAGGAGTTTCAGTCAGAGGTATTTGGTTCTTGGTCGAGGTTGTTGTTTATGATGACTGAGAAGGCTTAAGGGTAGCCGTGTGATGTCGTTTCAAGTGATCTCTTGTCCTGATGATGCAGGGTGGAGGTTGGAGAGCTTGGATTATTTAAGGAATGTTAACTTTATTTCCTACTGTATTGCAGCCTTGTGAGCTTTGCTCGGTACTCCGATGGCGTATTCGAGGTATTCACCCTACCTACCGTGGTAAGCTCGATCTCTTTCCTTGGTTGAACCATAATCGCACACGGCCTCTAAAAAGGCGGGGGGTCTTTTTTTAGCCATCTGCGCTAAGGAATAATAAATCCTTGCTTATCTAATTATATTTGATAATTTCTGTATTCCAACCAATCATATACCGCATTTGCCAATTTAATGTTTATTTCGATGAGACTATCCCTCTAGCAACAATTCTCCAGCCTCAATTTTACTAAGCGTAAATACAAACTTCCCGGTTCTACCAAACTATTTCCATTTCTTCCATGCGAATCATTTCTCGATCTTCCAGACCAACAGACCAACGAACCAACGAACCACTCAACTTTTATACAAAGCACAACTACGTACACATAAGAAGTGTGCACCCACAAGAAATCTTTAACCTGGTAATGAGAATTGAAGAGGAAAATTCCTCAAGATTTGGTTGGTTTCGTGGTCGCAACAAGAATACCGGTAGAACGAGGGATCATCATATTGAGGAGCTGAGCTGAGCATTGTTCAATTGTTTCCAAATTCGAATTCTCCACTCTCAATACAGTTCCTCCCTCCCTCTCCACTTCTACGAGACAGGAATTCTCTCCACGGTCCACAACCCACAATCATCCATTTTACCTCATAATTGAACTTCTCCTTTCTTCAATCAGGGGCTTCCAGCCATCTCTTTTTATTCAAGCTGCTTCCCCCGCCGAAGTAAGGTGCCTTCGCATAGGAGTGGCTTGTATTACAAAATGGATACTAGCTACTTATCGTCGCAGGTCTCGACGATCATAGATCAGCTTCATGGCTTGTTCGATGAAATTGGTGTTCCGTCGCGGGAACGAGAGACTCGAGAATCAGAGGTATGTAGTGTTTACTTGGCTTGGAAAGAAGAAAGTAGTGAAACCTAACATTTTTAGTTATTCGTTGCCCTCTCCGAGACCTTACACAACCAAGTACGGTTGGTCGCGGACGAGAAAAATGACTTGACAGAAGAAGCTCGCCGTATTATCACAACAATTAAGCAGATGGAAGCTTCCCTCGATGATGATAAAGATCACCATGAGTATGAGCCCGAAGATGAGGACCTCCAAATTACTTATCCCTTGATGCAATGTCTACAAGGATTAAAAGAAAAACATCTTCATATATCAAAGATACATAGAGAGAGATTTGAACAAGTCAAGAGTAAGTTTTAAGTTTTCCTTCAATTTGACACTAGGCTGTACTGACACATAGTAGAACTTGTTCAAGCTCTTGAGTCATACTCATCCCATTTAGAGCCATCTTTCATTAAAATCGAACTCCCACCCACATCTTTGAACGCGAGTATTCCTCCCACATTCGACCTTTCAAATAACTATGTTAGCGATCTCGATGATGAATTCACCCGCGTTTACGAAGAGTATACCCGCCGTGTCGCACTAGTAAAAGCTACTGCGGAAAATATCATTCAACTATGGGCTGAACTTGGCACGCCACAGGCTCAGACCGACAGCGCAATTGTTAAATACTATCGCGATGCGCCAGAGCAACTTGGTTTACACGAAGATGATATCTCCAGATTGCGCATGAAGCAAAGCAAATTGGTAGATGAGAAGAAGAGTCGAGAGAAGCGCTTGAGAGATCTTCGTACTACAGTCGAAGCTTTGTGGGCAAAGCTGGGCATCGACGAGTTTGAACAGAAACGATTTTTGAACGGCAACCGAGGGTTTGGCCTACGACAGATTAACGAATTCGAAGATGAATTATCAAGATTGAATGAGCTCAAGAGACAAAATCTACATCTATTTGTTGAGGATGCCCGATACAAATTACAAGAGCTGTGGGATGGTCTGTTCTTTTCTGAGGAAGAGATGCTCGAGTTCACTCCCGCATTCTCAGATGTCTACAGTGATGCTCTTTTGGAGGCTCACGAACAGGAAATCGGCCGTCTTGAGGTCCTTAAAGAACAACGCGCACCCACTTTAGCTCTCATCGAGGAACATCGATCACTTGTCAAAGACAGAGATGATCTTCAAGCATCATCACAAGATGCAAGTCGTTTGATGATGCGTGGCCAAAAGGGCGAAAAGCGTGATCCAACACGTTTGTTGCGTGAGGAAAAGATGAGAAAGAGAATCGCTAAAGACTTACCAAAGATTGCAGCAAAACTGAGAACTGTTCTAGAGGAGTGGGAGGAAGAATATGGTCGTCCTTTTATGGTACACGGTGAACGATACCTTGATGAATTGGAAGTTTCTGAAGCCAAATCTGCTCCAGGGCCGCGTTCAAAAACACCAGCAGGACCACCTCCAAGTACCATGAAGCCCCCTCCAAAAACTGTTGTCAAGGCTGGAACATTGGGTCGCTCTAACAGCGCACCAAGACCTGCTCCACCAAATAGATCTGGTGCCAAAACACCCACCGCAGGAGGAACAATCAGGAGACATCAATCTTCTGCTTCAGTATCCGCAGCGAGTGGTGTAAAATCACCTTCTAGGCTCCCAAATCGTATACCTTTGTCAAGTCTTAAGCTTCCCAACTCTCCAGAGCGCGATCGACGAACTGGATCTATGCGTCCCGAATCAAGACAAGCGACTAGCACTATCCGGGGCAAGATGGGTCCACCACCATCAAGAGCTCCACCCCCAAAGATGCGTGAGCTATTTGAACCACCACCACCTTCGGCTCCTCCAACTCAAACATACTATCATCGCGATGAGAGCTTTAACTCTTCAACTGGCAGTGTCCGACCAGTCTCTCCCGATGATGTTTTCGAAGCACCACCAACAAAGGCTAAGGAAAGACCTCAGTCGTATCAGGACTTGAGAGCATCAATGCGATCAAATTTCGGCCAATCATTAACTTATGGATCTGCGCCACCCGCTAGCAGCCGTCAACTTTCTACTACATCTAGCTCCGCAAATACCGGCTCTGGCTCTGAGAACTGGGAAACCTATGGAGATGTATCTGAGACTGAGCCAGAAGAAGACTCAAATGAGGATTATTTCGCGAAACTTCGGGCTGCTAGAGCAAATCGATATACTCCAGATGATGAAGCTCCTCCATTCCGTGGTAGTGCTACTATAAATAGTAGTATGATGAAGAAAAAGGGTTATCCACTTTACAAAGGACCTGCTGGGCAAGTTCTTAGTAACGATCGATTGTGCACGCGAATTGTTTCTGGAAGTGAAGCTAACTGGACTGATGAAGATGCTTTTTAAGTGAACAACGTGTTAAACACAAAATGCGGTTGGCGTTCGTGGGTTCCTTCAATTGAACTATAAGTCTTTACTCTCTTGTCGTTAACGGTTTCAATTGGCCTAGACAGATTTCATTTCTTGTACTTTTTCTTCTTTCAAGCAAGCATAGGATATTTTTCTGGTACGACTGTCATGCTTCGTGTATGATTGGAACGGCCTATTTTCTCTCTTCTACTGATTTTGTCTTTCAAACATACCATCTTGTGCTTTCTTTGCAGCAAAATTCCCTTTTTGTAATAGGTCTGGGAGGGGTTGTGTAGGAGTAAAAGGGAGGGATGGATAAGTGAGAGATGGGTGGAATGGCCTTGGCTTGGGTGGATGGGTGGGACTGGGGGATGTATCAGGCGTTTTTCTATGATTCACACATATTCTATGAGATGAGTGGATGTGGATGTCGAGGTCTTGTCATGTAACTAAATATCAAATATGAAATGAGATATCACATGAACGTTTTCATTTGGGGGTGGTTTTAGTGTGAATGCGAATGTGAAATGTTCGGGGTTTCTTTTCTCGTGTTGGAGACTTTTCGAAACCTATGTGAATATCTCGCGTGTCAGTATTATGTATATGTATGCACTATGTATATCGATTATATCTATTTTCTACGTATGATATTCTCCTCGAGCTCTCTTCGCCACTCTCTTTCCAAAGTGGAATGATGTATGGGTTTGATTTAATTCTCTCGCTTCCTTACCTGAGGTAGATAAATAGATAGATGGGCAGGTAGGTAGGTATTCCGGGAAGCTTTTCCTTGGAGAAGAGAGGAGAAAGATGTGGGTGTGAATTCTTCTGATCTCAATACCGCTTCTCCCCCTTTCTCTCCACCTCTATATGTGATGTGATATACAGTATTCTTTTTTTGATTCCCTCTTGTCTTGTACTCCTGAGTTTTGAGGCCCCGTGGGAGATTATGTATATGGGATATTTGAATTTTCATGTTTGGTGTTGGATGGTAGATGCTTAACATGTTTAATGCTTTGTGTAGATGAGACGTGCGATTTCGTGAGGATGGAAGATCTTGCTGTGTGTTAATACTGAGGTGGTTTCAATAGTACTATTTTGTGGGTTTCAAATCACAGTGGAATAGGATGTACAAATTTTCTGATGTGTTCATAATTTTCATTATGGTTCAGTAATCAAATATTCAATAATGCAATAACCCCTATTAGCATTTCCCGAATGCGGATACCAGTATCTCAATCGAATTTCCCAACTCCAGATATATAACCCCTCGAAAATCCAACGAACCCCTGAATTCAATTTACAAATCGCCTAAACCAAATACGGAGCCTCATCCACTTTCTTCTCGTTTTTCCAGGAATCGCGGATCCATCTCCAGCTCAGGAGATACGGTGAGCATGCGCCGAGTTCCTTTCTGATTTCTCTCAGTCGCTCTTGTTTATCGTCCGAGAAGAAAATATGCGTAACGCCTTCTTCCCTGACTTTTCTTTTGATGTCGATATCATCTCCCTCCACAATCTTCCCACTCGCGATCCGGAAATGTTCAAACTCGATCCGCACATTTAGATCCATGTCGAACGTCATTAATTCCCCGACCACAAAAATTGCCTTGCAGCCCCAAAACATGCTCCCCTTGAATTCCGTCATATCCACGCCTTGCTTCATCAGCATATCTTGTAGATATGTCGTGAGGGTTTTGCCTTCAACTCTGGCCATTTTTTCTATGATTCCTTTGTATTCCAGCGGTCCCACGTCCCGGTAATATGGATCGCCATGTTCATCTGAGTTTGCTTCGATCTCTTCTTTGTCTTCGTCTCTGCAATATAACATGTGGATCATCTCGAATGGAATTATGAATCTAGATGTTCTGCCCTGTTCAGCATCTGATTCTCTTTGCGCAACTGCGTGTAATACCCACTGCGGTTTAACGATGCTAGTTTTCTTGGTGTTCATCAAGGCAGCGACTTTAACCACGCGTTTATCGGCTATGACGATTATCTCTTCTTTAGCGGTAGGAGATTGAAAGATATTACCTCCATTTTCCTTGATGATTTTTTCGACTTCCACCTTGGATTTCTTAGAAGGATGAATCATCTCGCTTAACACGCAGAAGTTGAGTCCCTTAAATACATCTGTGTTTGGTCCCACATATTCTGTGTTTCCAACATTTTCTGTGCCAGCGATAATATGTTCTCTCTTGACTCGCTTCGAACCTCTTTTCTTCTTGTCGACTTTGAATTCGTCTTCTTTCCCCTTCTCAACTTTGGCTTTTATTTCCATGAATTCTTCAATTGAAAGTGCACTTTTCCAATCTTTATCTGGACGTAACCGTTTGAAACGCGGAAATCTTAATGTGTAGTTTGTGCGGAATGAGTCGGATATGCCTACTGATGCAGCTTTGACTTCTACGACTATTGAATCGTCTGCTTTGATCCATACATCTGGTCGTTCTTTCTCTTGATGAGAGCCGGCTAGTTCTATGAATTCTGTAGGTGGGGATTTGATGTCCCATTTATGCCATTTTCCGTCGGTTTGATGGCGGATAGCGGCATAGTCATCTGCATTAAATCCACCGCCTACTTTGAAGAAAGAAAAACATTTCATAGGGTTTGCTCCTGTTCTGTGACTTAGTTTTCGTTTGTAAATTGGAAAAAAGGGAGCAACCATACCAGTTTTGATTTGTTTCTCGTTGACACGCAAACCGCATAAGAATGACGATAAATTTCCTCCTCGATGACCTGATCCATAATATCCACCAATGATGATGCAATCCAAAGATTCCCCAAACCCAGTCATATATTCAGGTTTAACTTTCATCCAATCATCATTTCGACTATTTAGTCTATACATTGATCGTGGATTCTTCAACACTAGTCCTTCAGAGCCCTCAGCCACGATTTTCCGCAAAGCTGGATCAATTTCAGAAGCTGATTTGGCGGACTTGAAATCGTGTTTTTCAATTCGTCCTTCAACATTGTGAACCGCTGCCTCCAATGCGTTCCGTCTATCCCTCAAAGTGTGTTTCGTGATATTATCGCCATTCAGGTATAAGCAGTCGAATACTTTGAATACTGGCCTAGCAGCTGTAGCAGAGAATGGATCTTTTCCTCCTGATATTGCGGCTGTCTTCAAAGTACCAAATGCCACAATCTTATTCGTAATTGGATCCCATGTGATCATCTCGCCATCCAATATAATACTAGTTACTCTTGGATCGAAAGCCTTTTTCATATGTCTTGTCAGTGCTGCATTGTCGTCTTCGAAACTATTTCCATATAGATATGTATAATCTTTGCCCTTTCGAGACCACCATGTAAATTGGCGACCTCCTGGCATATCATCATTTTCTTCCATATGCATTTGGATTCTTTCGCCATCTAATTTCTCTTCGATCCAAAATTCAATCTCGTTATTCTTGCCCTTGGTATCTTGAGGACACATTTTCTCAACCATTTTGTCAAATGAAGGTGCCATAAATTGTGCAAGTTGAGGTTGGAAACACGATCCCAATTCCACACCTGTCTCATCAGCTTCTAAAGTGACATTAGGATCCGTAAGTTCCCAACAAACTCTTCGGAGACTAGAAGAGACATTAAATAACGCCTCTCCATCTGGATGCCAAAGCTATAGGAATAAATCAGTAATATTACGGAAACATTAGACATCGACTTACATTGAGAAACGTCTTTTCCGAAGCCCCAATCTTCATCTGCCGAAGAATCATTCTAATTAACCAAACCAACTCAGCCGGACTCATTCTCTGATAAAATTCTCGAAAGATAGGCAATTGATTTTCTTCCTTTTGGGCCAAAGCAAGTTTGTCAAGCATCTCATTAACTTCCCCAATACTCATATTTCCAACCTTCTGTCTCATTGGTCTTTTCGATAAAACCTCATAACACCTTCCCGGAAAATCTCCCGAATTGGCACTTGGGGGACCTCGCGCCGGAAGTTTCCAATTCATAAGATTATACCCATCATCCGAATCTTTGGACAGATTCAAAAGCTTGATAATGAGCTTTGCAACCGAAGCTTCTTTCAATCCATACATAGCTCTATCGCGATCTTTTTCAGGGATGATCAAGCGTAAAGCAGGGAAGAAATCATCGCCTACTTGGTCGCGCCATCGCGACATAAATCGGATGATGATATTTCTTCGTATTTCATGAGGAGAAAGATTATTAGGTCCATGTGGTCCTAATTTTTTGCGTGCAGTGGCTGGACCCGGCTTTTTATTCTTGTTGGCTTCAAGAGGATCGAAGAGTGATTGGAATAATTCATGGAATGGTAATGTTTTTCCATGATTATGAGGACGGTTTGGATATCTTATCTTCTATTAGATTTTGATCATATCTAGATGAATTGAATTGTTCAACTTACTTGTCGTTAAGCTCCTCTTTACTAATGGTGCTATGAGCATACTGACGTTCATCATCAGCTATAGCCTCAGCGTCAGGCCGTTTGTTTTTATTCTGTTGACTCGAAGACATGATTCATGATGTTGAGAATAATCAACTCTGAAATGATTGAAAGTTGATGCTTAAGAAGACCTTTTCGATACTCAATGCTTACGGTTGCCTAGCTAAGCGCGAAATTGACAGGCTGTCACGTGAATGTTGTCGTACTTTGCGTATGGCTACTTCTGTACATAAATAGTCTTATTATTAGGCCGTGGGTGCCAATCTTTACTCATAAAATGTCTACAACATTCACTATGATCTCTATTAGAAGGTTTGTACAGCTTCTCGACTCAATATCCGTATTTGCTATTTTTATTATGAACTTGCAACCCGCTAACCTTACTTTGTCATACACTTGCTTGGAAAATCCTTCTCAATGTGGTACAAAAAAATATGGGTTGGTTTACAAGTGTAGAAAATACGTGTCGGAGCTTACAAGTGAATGAAAGATTCATGAAGACTACCTAGGTACATAGCTACTTAGTGATAGAGTCAAATGAATACTCGCTGTACTGCTTCTAAACTAGGACGTTTGCATCTGTATCCTGAGGACATGGGCAATAGATACGTGAAGTCAAGCCATCTAGACTAGTATTCGTGGGAAGTGATTCCAGATACTAATTCCAGATATCTGATATCTATTATCCTATACATCCATAACATTCACATCAGGATTAAAGTTCTCACTTCATAGCTGAATGAGATCATGGCGCCCGGGCTGCTGATATAATAAAATACAAAGGTTCTTGAGAATGAGATTTTTTTACTATGCATGCGTCAAACACTCGACCTTCTTCCTTTTCCTCAGCGATAGTATTAGACTTGAGGATCGAATCCTGTTAAGTTTCAATATACAATACCATATTTCATCGCGATCCTTCGTACTTTGTCGGTTTCTATGGAGTGCAATCACCTCGTCATTCCCGCGAAGACACCTCGCATTTCGGTTTCATAGATGCGTACAGTGTAAGTGTGCCTCTCCATTGAGAGGAAGATGAGTAAAATCATCGGTTCATTGTCTGCATTTTATTAAACAAACAAAGTACATTGTATATTCTTGCAACGCGATACCCTTTAGTGTCCGTTAATGTGCTTTACAAACCAACCACAAGGAGATGTTATACCTTATGTGAATTCGGCTGCGATAAGTTTATTTTTCCAGAAAAGAGTGTCGTATATCTTGGTCTATATATCTTGTTGCAGGACTGTACAACATGTCATGGAATAAATAAATTGAAATCTATGATGAAATCCCATATTAACTCGCCGATGCCACTAGGATGTATTGGTGAAACGATCAGATATATGATCTAAACATCAACAAATATAATGCGTGTAACAAAAAAAAAGACAAAAAAAAAAGTGAGCAAGCACTTCACATCATCTCCAAGCCCCTCGATTCTGCATGAAATCCCCAGACCTCGCCCTTCCCGCACCACTGAAGCCTCCACCCATCCCTCCACCGCCCCAATCCAACACCACGCCTTGAAACCCTAAATACCATCTCCAAAAACACCCAATAAAATATAACTCCATACTCTAATCTCTCTAAAAGCGTCACAAACAAGCGGAAAATACGTGTATCCGTATCCGAAGTTCCTACAAGCTTTCCGCTGCCGGCATCAACACGGTATGTACATCTCCTCGAGACGAATACGCGAGAATTAGCGGGTCCACAAGTCTACCTCATCCACGACCATCAATCATTATTCATTGAATCAAACAGCTGTTCGGTCCAACGAAACTTCTTTGTAGACGAATATTATTGTGCCTCGATGCTAATTGTGAAAGACTAATCAAGCTTGAAATAGAATTCAGATGTATGAAGGCAGCCCTAGTAATATCAAAGATCCAGAAAAACCCCAGATAACCCCCAAAGTAAAAATTGAAAACGATACATCTCTTCCGGAATCTGCAAACTAGAAGTATCTGGACATTGAAGAAAATAAAAAGTCGTTATGGGTGATTGAGGGGAATTGCGCCGCGTATAAATACTCCATAGAATGAGGAAAATCATGAGACGGAAGAGGGTTTCTCCCGAGTAGGGTTTATATGAAAAGCGTTGAGACGCATTATATATACACGTACGATATGTATACTATATTATATTTCGACTCCAGGCATAAGCATCTATGTATATGAGTACGCGCGCCTGCTATCAGGGAAGAGAAATAAATCCATCTCAACTATTCAAAGCTACACTTACGCGTTCAAGTACCCCCAAAATGCATGGTAACTTATACACACACAAGAGTAAATACCCCCCCCCCTCCCCCCCCCCCTCCCCCCAAAAAAGCCAAGTCTCCTAGCCCAACCCATCTCCCTCCAAACACCATATCACTCGCTAAGCTTTCCATCCTCGTCATCCTACATCCTATCCTCTCTCCCATCAACAACCTACAACAACACACCTACACCCGTCTCCAACCAGCCAACCACTCACCCATCTCTTCGACAACTCAACCGACGACGTTACCTCGCCATGGCACTGTGCATTTACCAAACCGTTCCCGACGCACCCCTCCGTTTTCCAAATCCTCTGGAACGGCGAGTCCCTTAACCCCGTACAATATTCCACCATGCCGTTGCAATCGCCAACAGATCAGATCCCTTAACGTATTGAAACGACCATGTGTTCCAGTCTCAAAATACCAGTATCAGGTACTTATATAAACTTGACGATTTCCAAGAAATATTAAGAGACTACTGCGATAATATTGTGTCCCAACTTGTATTCATGTTCAAGCGGACATTCCGCCCGGTTGCGATTGCGATATCGATTATAATGAGTAATATTTGACGTTGTTGGTGATGGCTTGTAATATTGCCAAGATGGATAGGAGTTCTGTGAATGGTTTTGCTGGGATAATTCTACTCGGGTGTGTTTATCGTTGAGATGAGAGGATGGGAATTTGGAGAGGGGGCTGGGGAGTTAGAGCACATAATATAAAAATATACACATTATATCCTTCAATACAATATCAATAAACCCCTTTTTTCCATACCCCCCAAAAAACATAAAATTAACATCTAACAAAACCACCATTCCGAACAACCCAGATAATACAAACCTACTCCACTCCATCTCCTCCAACACAACACAACCATCCAATCAGATCCGATCCCATCCGATCAAATTTCCCACCCTCTCTGCCTCTCTAGGTAGCCACACCAAGCACTCAAAAAAAAAAAAAAACATAGCCATCTCAATTTCTCAAATTCTCAATCTCGCCAGCAATCCATCATATCCCCATATTCCCATATCCCCGCATCTCCAAACAAGTACGATTTGCGACTTCGGGAAGCTATGGTAATATCTGGATTCATATTTCTTTAACCCTTTCGGCTAATGTTGTATATCTACCTATGTACTACCTAGGTAGGTATACGTAAACTGGGAATTACTATTCTCGGAGTGGGAGGATATATTCGCACCACATTTCATAAGTATATATGTTCTTTCGAAGAGCAATTATGTTGATACTTGTACGTGGTTGTCTTTGTAACCCTCGAGTTCGAATTCTTTGAGTGAGTTTGCAGAGCTAAAATTGAATCGTTCAAATTATTTAGTAGAGGTATATTGTTGCCTTCTCATGTTTTGATTCGCGTTACTATCCTCATTATGTGTATACAACAATATTTATACTTTTACACCGAGATATGGGCAAAATCAAGAGTTGAATGAAGACTTGAGAGCTCAACCAAAAGGCGACATATATCACGTGAAAGATCATCACGAGGACATTCTTCAACGTCAGTTGTTCATCTGCTCTAAGCCCCCAACCTTTACACATCTCTGATTGGCAATACCAGTCTGCACACAGCTTAATCACGACGACCATCCCCCATTCTCCCAAATGGTAAGCCGACCAGTTCACGAGGACCTTTCGAACCCCAGATTCTCGCACTAAGTCGGTCCTAGCCGATCCACGAGATAAGCAATGCGAGGATCTTGGCATGTCAGTACCGACACGATCGTGAAATGCCTTATCTGCCAATTGCCATCTCTTCTTGATCCTGTATAGAGACTGGAGATGCGGACTGCGGAATGTAACCAAAGAGGTTTCTGGTGCGACACAGGAAAATGAGCTATCACGTTCTTCTGGGCATACTGGACCATCACACCTGGGCAGAAATGCAACGATCGTCGATTTGCACATTATATTTCCGACGAGGCGAGATGCGAAGATAATTTTTGAAATGTCATGCTTCTTCGAGAACAAATGAGGAAGTTCGAAGTTGCTTGGTACCTGGAAAGTGGATCATCTTGGACATTTTCTGTCCTATCATATCTTATTGATAACAGTATTCCCTAAGCATACACTTGCATGAGCCTCTTCAGCTCTTTTGGCGTTTTGGGACGGAAAGGATGAATGTGATATCGTGGGGAAGAAGGGAAAAGTCTGACAGGCCATTTGTTGTAAGCAGAACATTTTTGATTACTTTGATTGCTCTAAATTTTCCAAGGGTAATCCATGGGGAAGTGAGTCAGAAAGCTCTGCTGATCCCAACTTAAGCCTTTTTCAAAAGACCCTTGGTTTTTGCATGTTTGTGGGCTCGTGGAGTCGTGGGTTTGTATCTTGACGGAAATGAAAACCATGCGACAGGATTGTATTTGGGAGTTGTAACTTGTGAGGCTATCCTTAGTCGAATTTGTATGAGATGTGGAGAATCTCAAGTTTCCCCGTACAGGATGCCGGAAAATCAGCATCTTTATCCTTGATACTACAAGGGTTATAACTTTCTTAACTGCGATTTAATCATGTAACTGCAAAACTTTGGAAGCTGCTTGAAAATTTTAAATCAAATACAAACAAGGGCAAGGAAAGATATCTTTCCAAAATCAGACCATATCCCCAAAATAATCAAAGAGAAAAAAAAACTGTCAAGAAAAAGGGACCTCGGTCGGAAATGATTGATTGATGATTGAACTTTTGTTGAATTTCAATTTCGGGTAATTATTTCGTGCAGTAAAAAAAACTCTACGCCCAACAGGCGCGACAACCTAACCATGAAAATGATGAAACAAA